GTACCTGGAGACACCCCCCGGCCCGGCTTCTCCTCCCAGCGTCGGCCGGGGCTTGAGCGGGCTTTCCGCCACGCACCTCGCATGCCGCCAGAGCCAGCTTGCCCTTCCCAAGACTTTCGAAACCCGAAAACTTGTTTGCTATAAAAACAAGATTAGAAAAGGTTTAGCTTGATGTAAATTATCCCCTTCTCTCCCCTCCAGTCTTTGATGCCTGCCTTCCACGCACTTCATTTTCAAGCAGCTGCCGTGCACTCTCTTCCCGGCAGGCCTGTGCGGATCGCCCCCCCTCTCCCGCAGCTGTGCAGGTGCCAGGTTTTCCTTTGGAAACACACAGGGAGGCAGCAGCGAAGACATTTAGACAAGGCGGAGGCTCTTCAGAGCCACACCGGGGTGAAGAGCTGGACGGTGGTTCTCAACGTTTTTTGTACCAGGACCCATTTGTAAACATCAATGGCCAGTCCCGACCCAGTGCCCCTCACTCTAGCCTCTAAGGCTAGAACTGTCAGACAACAAAGAAAAAACCATGTTTTTCCTTCTTTAAATAAGAATCCATTTTAAAAGTTTGCTCCCAACCCTTGAATATGTTCTTACAACCCACTTTTGAGTCATGAACCACAGGTTGAGAGACACGGAGCTAGAAGAAAAAGTGCACCAAAACAGCAGCAGTGGAAACAGGCTGAATCAGGCTCTTCATCTAGGGCAGTGCACGCCGGCACCAACCAGTGGATCTTGATCTGCCAGTAGATCTCGGAGCCTCTTGGAGTCGATCGGAAGCTGGGGTGGGGGGGCCATATGCACGCATGCCCCGCCCAGCAGGTCAGTCCAGCGGGGAGGGAAGGGGCAAGGGCTAGATTGATGCCCCCGTGGTAAGGAGCAGTGCCAAAGAGGTAGGAGCAGGGGTGAATTGAGTGGGGCCCTGGCCAGGTGGGACTTAACTGCTAGGGAGGCATGCCCCCAAATAATTTTTTCTCCGTGTTGATCTCCCCCCCTTCCTTCCCCCCAGACTTACCTGCTGCAGGGGTGGCAGCAGGGCATGGTAGAGCTTAGGTTGCTTTTAAATTTCAAAGGTGATCTCCTACTTCAAAAGGTTGGAGAGCACTAATCTAAAGTAACAGAGAGTATATAGAAGCAGATCAGGTTTATTTAGGTATTCCAGGAGAGAGTCCTTGTCTGACCGGTGTGCCCACCCCTGCACATCATTACCAGGGAGCAACCCGAGTAGAACGGACAGGAAAGTGGGCACTGCTCATGCTGCAGGCAGGCAATCTTCTGTTCCAACAGGGAGATCCAGGGCAGCACCGGAGAAGGATGCTCAAGGTCTTCCCTGTGCATAGTAACCAACCATACAAACTAAAAACAAAAAACGACTGAGCTGGATGATTGTGGAAATAGACAGACAAACCCAACACCACTGATTTCCCCTTTGTAAAAGTGTTAAGTACACAATTCAAGCATTTATGGGTGCTTGGCACTCTAGTTGAATGCATCACAAACAGCATTACAATTGGCTCAAGCTGGCATTTTTGGTAGCACGCCAGAGAGCACTGAACTCAAGTCAATATGCAGTGTCAGACATTGAACAGGAGCCTGCATTATCACTCCCTATGTTCTACCTATTCTTTGGATAACTGTTCCAAATGTGATAGAAGATAATTTAAGGAAAAAAAAAGGTGTCATGAGCATAAGTTTTTCCTTAATAGTGTCCTCAAAACAGGTGGAACCTCCAATTACAAAACCCTTCTGAGATGTTAAACCAGCAATCAGCCAAAACTAAGACTGTCTCAGAGTTAATGAATACTTCCCACCTCTCTGCAATTGAAGCTACAACCTTCTGGTCAACTCTTCTAAAAAACTAGGTAACTGGATTTCCTCACTAGTAAACTGTGCTAACATTGTTCTTTCCCACTGCATTTCAACCTAGAACACCAAGCCTGCGTGACAGTGACCATCTGCTTAATAGCAGAGAGGAAGACGGTTGTACAGTACAGGAGACTTTTTCAGTTAATTAAAACCTTTAGAGAAAGTAAAGCACCTGTTCCCTTTTATCAGGCATGAAGATAATTGATTGTGCTGAGTGGCACAAAAAAGGAGCTCTGGAGTGTCCCCTGTTTGGGGCTCAGTAGTTGCTTCTGGTCCTTGGTTCCTCTCCAGGAAATGGACCAACCCACTTGTCTGGAGTTTGGCGCCCCCTGCAGTAACCTACTCTTCAAGCCAACCTTTCCCTAATTAATCAGGCCATAGATTGCTGATCTCCCTAGCAGGAACACCAAGCAGGACTTTGAGATCAGGAACCTATTTTCACAAATTCAAATTTTAGGTAAGAAATCAACATTTCAAGTTCATGTTGAAGTTCCCTTTCCTACAAGTAATGGACTCTCTCTCAGAAGGGCCACAACTAGCTGATCATACACTGATGCCCAACATCTTGTCAGGTTTTTCAGAGCCTGGAGCACAAGCAGTGAGGTAATGTTTAGTGGCTGCATCATGAGTACCAGGTTGTTGCCCGACAGGTCCTTACCACTGATCTGGCTCTCCCTGTTGACAAAAGAAACTGTGCTCTTCCATGAATTGTTCCAAGACTCCCCTTGAGCAGATGGATCGTTGCATTTCTTTCCATCATTTCCTTTCTATTAGCACACTGACTGCCAGATTCTTAGCAAATGGGATTAAGTCCCTCTTCCCACAGACACTAGATGCAATTTAACACTGTTGCTAGGGTTCTGGCTGCAGGCTGTCCTCAGTATCACCGGTCTGATTTTTCTGCCTCACTGATTCAGACCTCCACTTTTTAACCCTTTTGAAGACAATAGAATAACCTCTCTACTATTTTCAGTATTTCTTTTTGTAATCAACCTGTATGGTGGGTTCCTCTGGATTTGGGTGTGGAATTAACCTGTTATGACAAGCCTAGCAGTAAGGTATCTTGATCTGAGCAAAAGACCCTAATTTCTGCCAGCCATAGACTGGCAGACATCGGAAATGTGTGGTGAGACAGTCTCTGAAACACCAAACTCAGCTTTCTGGTATGACTTAACTTTTGAAGGCAACTGAGTTTAAAAAAAGAACCTTGGAGAAAGTTTTTAGAATTATTTTTCCTTTGTTTTCAATAAAGAAAACGATAAAATCAAAATTATTCCAACAGCTCTTCTAGATGCCAAAGATGGGAGACCCAACAGTCTGCCTCTTAATCTGCTACTGGCTTAAAGCCAAATAACACTATAGCCTGAACAAGCTGATTTGTGTTTATCCTTGCCCTATAAAAAACTGCTGCCTACCTTTTCTTGTATGTTTTTTTTTTTTAATTCATGTATCTAGAGGGTATCAGCCTAACAAATTCAAAACGTCTCAATTTAAGATATACATTAAAAGAGGCTGCAGGTATTTTAGGATTCAGCGACACTTCCACATACAGGTGCTCGAATCAATTGCACTGTTATATGACTACTATCATGGTGATTAAAGTATTCCCAAATGTTACCCAAGGAGATTGCTTACTTGGGAGTTGGTCATGTTTATATAAACAGCTGCAATGGTGTAACTCTCAAGACATCTTTAAGGCACTAAATGGAAACTTTTATTTACTGAGGCAATGCAGAACCTTATACAAAAAGTGCCATTTTATGCCCTTTATTACCAATTATGATGTCCTGAACCTCTGTAGAAACTCTTTGATAGCTACTGTAAGCAGTTCAATAGACAGAGAAAATAGGACAGATAACAAAGGGGGCACCCTGAACAGGGGGCACTTAAAAGAAATTACATGGAGAACTGTAGCATCACCTGCTTTGATATTTCCCCAATATATTTTACTTATTTTTCTTGACTTGTATGTGCTCTTCAGCAAGTAGGAAAGATGGAGCTAGTCCCACCCAATCTTTTCTACAATTACTGTTCTTTCAAATATATGTAAAGAATATGCATGACATTGTATATAGACATTTTAAGCAGTAAATAGGCTATCAAATGTTAGGTTATTCTAAGAATAATAATAAGAGTTAGCATAGCATTGAATGGAACCATGCACCATAACACTAGTAACCAAGTTGATTCAAACATATTTCAGTTAATAAATACTGCCATTTAAATTTTATATAAATGAAGGGGAAATGCCAAAAGCTTTTCTGCTTTTCAAGGACTTTTTTTGAGGGGAGGGGGAAGGATTTAAGAGCTTTTTCAGGATTTCTTTTAGGATTCTCAAGATTTTAAATGCATGTTTCCTAAAATGCTTCAGGATTTCTAATGCCCTCTTATCTGAGGGATTTCCTTAGTAAATTGAATGCTGCTTTAAAAGGAGAGAGAAAAAAAATATTTTTTTTCAGGTTTTTTTTTTAAGTAGGAAAAACCTCTCTTTTCCATGATAAACTGTAAAAGGAATTTCCTGGTTTGAACATTTAGTAAAGCAGATGCTTACATACTGAGGTTAAATGACACTTTCTTTATTTGACTCTCAGTGGGCTCTATTTTTTAAATTACATTTTTAGCTGCATATCCAGGAATTTTGCAATACGTGCAGGAAAATTCTTGTTTAATTAGGATTTTCCACGTATTTGGGGGGATCCAAAAGGTTTATACAGAAGCCCACAGTTATTTTCAGTATCTTCAGCTTTACCTCCTTCAGAGTGATTTTATTTTCCAAGTGTGATGACTGTGAAAGCTTGGCCTGACCCACACACGAAATTTAAATGACCAAACTAAAACAATAGTGCATCTTGCACAAGAATGCAAGATCGTGACTAGAATCATGTTAAATGAAGCAAATCTCAACTGATTTAATCTCTTGTGCTAGTTGCAAATGTACCCTATTTCATTAAGCTAAATCATTCATAAATAACTGCATCTCCCTACATGACTATATCCTCCTTGTTGACATATTCTCTCTTGATTAAGGCATATTTCTCGGAACAGGCATTCAATGCATGTTTGGGGTTTTGTAAATGTCTCCCTAAACCATCACCGGTTCAGAATATTTTGGCTTTTGTCCCACTGTTAAAACAACTACTCAAAGCATGGTGTCCTATTCAGTCAATCAAAATCCATCCCATTTGATTGAAATGTAAGCTCCGGACTGATTAAAAGCTTGCATAAACAAGTTTCACAACTGGACAATCCAAAACAGGATCCGAGCAGTTAGCGATTGTAACATGATAGTCTTTCCCTACCTGCTTTGTTCGGACTTTAA